TGACGCTCAGCATTTCCAACGCCCCAGGCACCGCAGAGTTTGGTTTTCTAACGTAAACACAAATACTCAGGCATTTGGAAACAGAGAAGATCCAAATACATCAAAACTGTGGTGTCCTACAGCTACTCCTCGAATCCTCCACATATAGCACTGTGGTTGGAAAAGTTCAAGTCCCAGTGGGCTGTGTTTTGATAGATGAACCAATACTCTGGAGCTCATCTTAGTAGGGAGACAGGAGCCCACTCATCAAATTGTCCTGATGAGTAAGAAGTCCTAAGTAATTAGGAAAGAATTTTATTCCATTCATTTACTTTCTGTATCACTTTCTCTCTTACGGAAGGTGAATTCCTCTGCTTACTCAAATTTTTCAAGGGGAAAATTTGCAACAAGGGAAGACAATGTGTGATTTCCTTCTATGAAATTGCTCCCTAACCAGTGATGTACTATATGGACTGTGTATGTGTGTGTGCATGCTCAGTCATTGTCAACTTTTTGTAACCCCATGGACTGTAGCCTGCCAGGCTCCTCTGTCCATGGAATTTCCCAGGTAAGAATACTGGATTGGGTTGCCATTTCCTACTCCAAGGGATCTTCCCAACCCAGGGGTTGAACCCCCATCTCTTGCATCTCCTGCATCGGCAGACAAATTCTTTAGCACTGCACCACCTAGGAAGCCCTACTATATAGGCTACTCTGAGCCTAATTCACCTCCAACTGCGGTTCTGAAAGGCTACATATGTAAAGGCTGTATCAGGAGAGGGAAAGTGATGCCAGGACAAGGAAAGAGCCATTCCTCTGAAAGGATATCCACAGTGGCTGGGCTGACTCGGGAGTCTGTAGGGAGGGCTGGGCAGGGTTCAGATGGGGGATATTTGTACAGCTGATGATTGAAAGAAACTTCATAGGCTTTGGTGAAGACCTATGAAGGCTGCCCTCCTCCCACCCAGAGGAAAAACTCCTTCATATTTCTCAGGATGGCACTTTGGAACCTTCTTCCCCATTCAGCATGGGGCCTGGGCTCCGTTTCCTCTCAGGATGGAGCTAATCTCATGGTCTCAAGGGGGGTACCCAGAACTCTGCACTTGGTCTCTATGATGACAGTTGACTTCATAGACAATAAAAGTAGGGAAGAGATATTTATTTTGCATTTAGTGTGTGTCAAGAACTTAACATCCTTTACCCTCATTTAAATTTCCTAAGATTCTTGTATCATCTTCATTTTATCAGAGGAAACCAAGTATCTGGGAGGTTAAGTAATTTGCCTGGTGTCAAAAAAACCAAGTAAATGAAGAGCTGGGATTCAAACCCAGGCATAACTCCAAAGTCATGCTGCTGCTTCTTAAATTTCTCTATTGACAGAAGTATTAGGGGCTCTGCCATCTTTCCAACTTCAGCAACATCCTTTGTGCTTTAATAAGTAGTAAAGTCCAGCTCAAGGCTGTGGCTTAATTTATGCATGATAAGTTTAAAGGTAATGGACCATCCACGCTGCTACAAATGGCATGATTTTGTTCTTTTTATGGCCGAGTAATATTCCATTGTATATATGTACTACATCTTATTTATATATCTGGCAAGGGATATTTAAGTTGCTTCCATGCCCTGGATATTGTAAAATATGTTACTATGAACAGTGGGGTGCATGTATCTTTTTGAATTATGATCTTCTCTGGGAATATGCCCAGTAGTGAGATCACTGGGTCATGTGGTAGTTCTAATTTTAGTTTTTTTAAGGAATCTCCATACTGTTCTCTCTGGTGATAGTACCAATTTACATTCCCATCAGTAGTGTAGGAGGGTTCCCTTTTCTCCACACCCTTTTCAGTATTTACTGTTTGTGGATTTTTTGATGATCGTTACTCTGACTGGTGTGAGGTGATACCTCATTGCAGTTTTGACTTGCTTTTCCCTAATAACTGTGATGTTGAACATCTTTTCATTTGCCTTTTGGCCATTTGTCTTCTTTGGAGAAATGTCAATTTAGATATTCCACTCATCTTTTGACTGGATTATCTGTTCTTTTGATATTGAGCTGAATAAGCTGTCTGTATATTTTGGAGACTAATCCCTTGTTGGTTGCTTCACTTGCAAACATTTTCCCATTCCTAGAGACTGTCACACTGAGTGAAGGAAGTCAGACAGAGAAAGACAAATATAGGATGTCACTTATAAGTGGAATCTAAAAAAAAAGGGTGCCAATGAACTTGTTTACAAAACAGAAGTAGAGTCACAGATATAGAAAACAAACTTACGGTTACCAGGGGATTGATGGGGGGAGAGATAAATTGGGAGATTGGGATTGATACATATACATTGCTATATACAAAATAGGTAACTAATAAGAATACATACGCTGTGTAGCACAGAGAACCCTACTCAGTACTCTGTAATGGTTTATATGGAAAAAGACTCAAAAAAACCCAAGTGAATATATGTATGTGTATAACTGATTCACTTCACTGTGCACTTGAAACTAACATAACACTGTAAATCAAAAAGGGAGCACTGTACATTCCTGGAATGATACACAATAGGATGGATTGATCCTACAATAGGATGGATGTCCAGGTCCTGAAATGCACTGACAGTAGTGCTTTCTGGATGTGCAATGAGTGGGTTCTCTGTCTCCTGACTCACTGATGCATTTATTTTGCAAATTTTTATAAAGGGATATGTCAAGTGCCCCATGGAGGACTGTGAAATCTGGAAAAGATGGAATAAGTGTTCTCTTTTGAGAATGGGCTGGTTTTTCTTTGAAACTAGGGGCCAATTTGCTCCATCCAAGGAGCCTCAGTCAATCCAGAGTTCTCCCTAAGTGCAGCCTGGGATCCAGAGAGGACTGCCCAGGTGGTGCACGGATAATGAATCCACCTGCCAATGCAGAAGGCGCAAGAGATGCAGATTTGACCCCTGGGTCGGGGAGATCCCCTGGAGGAGGAAATGGCAACCCACTCCAGCATTCTTGCCTGAAGAATTCCACGGACAGAGGGGCCTGATGGGCTACAGTCCATGTGACTGCAACAAGTCGGACACAACTGAGCACAAGCACCTGGGATGCAGAGAATATGCTTGGGTCGTGGTGAAGAGAGGGAAGAGCTGAGCAGCAACCAGCAGGCGGTGGGCAATGCTTCTCTCTCCTCAACCCCACTCATCCCCCTACAGGTTCAATTTTATTAAACTCAGGAGCTGTAAGTATATGAGAATAGTGATTCTTTCTTTTCAAATCCCTTCCCCAGAGATAATTTTCCGAGATCCTTATGCTGTCTGATGATAACCTAAGCTAAAGGTTACTACAACTATATGACCACAGAAACAATGGCTCTACGGTGGGGCTCTGAGAATCCAGAGAAGACCCACCTTCACCGCTCATGAAATGAAACCAGGGAAAGTTAAACTGGAAGGATAAGAGAACAAGACGTTCACTTCACTCTATCATCCTGCCATTTTGTACCCACTTTTGTCTGCAACACACTATCCCCGGGATACACAAAACACAGAATCAGACAATTTCTTCTTATAAATGATCCCAGATACATATATAAACAAACACATTTGCACCATTCCTAAGAGGTAAAAAAAAATGTCTATACTGAATATAAAATAGCACAAAGATTAAAAAATATTGATTAATTGAAAGTAAAGATCAATTGTAAGAAACATGTCACTAGGACCTGAGCTATTGGTTTTAGCTGGAAGCTAAAAGCAGGAGAAAAATGTGATGGATTGTGTAGTTCTCAGTTACAAAAGAAAATACATAGGTCTGCCTTGTACATACAAACTTTTCCCTGGTACTGGATTTAAGGAGGATTGTATGTCCTGGCTCCTTATGTAAGAGGCACACAGCACTATGCTTACCTAAGGAATTTCTATAAGGGACACAATATCTCCAGTTCCAGTTTTGCAAAAGATACAGATAAGACAAGCTGTAGACAGGGGAGGGGAGGGGTAGAGCCTCTGCTGTGGGTAAAAGTATGAGGGTTAGTCTGACATTTCCACCCATTCAGAAGCCAACTCACTCCTCCACAGTCAACCACCACAGACATTTCTGGGGAACGCATAAGTGTATATCTAAAAAGGAAGTTTTAAAATCTTTTAAGAGATTAGCAACTACCATGTGTCAGGTACAGATCCAGACACCTTATAAAGTATATTACAAAGCAACATGTTACAACCACAAGATGACAGACTTGTAGTCAGATATATAGCCCTCTCTGTGTGACTGCGAATAAGTTAACTTAACATCTTTGTGTTCAGTTTCCATGTCTGTAGTATGAGATCAACATTATCCATTGTAGGGGGTCATTGTAAGGATAAAATGAGAGAAAAAATGTACAAAAGATATGCAGCTTACTGCAAAGTCAATAAACACTCAGTCTTTTTCTCCTTTCCTGTTTGCCCATGGAACCTTGACAAATCCATGCAATGGACTGTAAAGCAGCAGACAGTGAGCTTGAGAAAACTGAAGTGATCTGTACTAGATGATGCAACTGAAGTACAGACTCGTGGTTTAAAAGAGGACCGTTTCAGGCTTCTCTGGTGGCTCAGTGGTAAAGAATCCCCCCATCAGTGCAGGAGACATGGGTACGATCACCCGTCCGGGAAGATCCCATAGACCTTGGAGCAACTTAGCCTGTGTGCCACAACTACTGAGGCTGTGCTCTAGAGCCTGGGAACTGCAACTACTGAGCCTCAGTGCCACAGCTAAACTACTGAAGCCCATGCTCCCTAGAGCCTGTGATCTGCAGAAGACAAGCCATCACCATGAGAAGCCCCCACTTGTCCCACAGCTGGAGAAAACCCCATGCAGCAACGAAGACCCAGCACAGTCAACAAATACATAAAATCATATCTACAAAAAAAGCAGGACAGGCTCATTTCAGATGTGATGCTCTTCCTACTTAACCATCTACTTAGTTGAGACTTGAGTCTGTATCATTTCAACATGAAGTGACCATTTCCATTTGTACAATCAGGGCCCAAAGCTCCGGCAAGGTGCTCACCTGACCAAAGGTGAAGTCCATCAAAGCCATAGGAGTATAGGTCATCACCAACACCATTGCCTCCCCATCCTTCTCCACCTCCAGGGTAAGGAGCGTAGCCAGAGGAAGAGGCCCAGCCCACCCGCAGATGCGTGGGCTCTGCGGTGAGGAAGGGGTCCACCTGGTCGATGATAAGCTCGAAGTACCACTTCTTGTACTGTGCTGAGCCTTCAGCAACTCCCAGGAAGATGTTTGGCCGAATACTGAAATTAAACATGAGACAGGTGGCACCTACAGACTCTTGAGAAATAGGAAAGCAAACTGAACCAGACCATAGGAGGCACGGGGCCAATTAAACCAAAAAGTGAAAGTGAGAGTTGCTCAGTCATGTCCGACTCTTTGCAACCCTATGGACTATAGCCCACCAGGATCCTCTGTCCACGGGATTCTCCATGCAAGAATATTGGAGTGGGTTGCCATTCCCTTCTCCAGGGCATCTTCACAATCCAGGGTCTCCTGCATTGCAGGTGGATTCTTTATGGTCTGAGCCACCAAAAAAGCCCAATTAAACTGAGAGCAAGAGCAATTTCATGATTTTTGTCGTGTTCCAAAGCGGAATAATCTTCAAGCCTCCAACACTTGATCAAGTTCTTAGTGGGAGATGTCAGGACAACATTAATTCCATTAGAAAATATAAAAGATATCTCTTCCCATATTCAAGGCAACAAACATTTACTGAGTGCCAACCATAGGCAAAGATGTTGAAAACATCATGTAGAGTTGTATGATTGCAAACTCCTCTCTTTCTGTAAGTATAAGAAATGACTTACACAGGTTCCATCTTCTGGTAAATTGGTTTAAGCTTTCCCCCATAGGCATTATTAATAATAATGGCCTCTTAAAAGCATTAAGAAGTCACTATTAGAAATAATCCAGAGAGAGAAAGACAAATTCTGCATGGTATCACTTACACGTGGAATCTAAAAAAGAGGTCCAACTCCTAGAAAGAGAGAAATGAAAAGTAGTTCTGGAGAATACGGGCAGGGGGATAATGAGAAGTTGATAAAAGGGCACAAATTTTCACTTATCAGACGAGCAAAGTGTGAGGATATAACATGGTGACTTTGTTGACAATGGGCTTCCACTCATGGCTTAGTGGGTAAAGAATCCTCTTAGAATGCAGGAGATGCAAGTTCAATCCCTGGGTTGGGAAGATCCCCTGGAAGAGGGCACAGCAACCTATTCCAATATTCTTGCCTGGAGAATCCTTATGGACAGAGGAGACTGGTGGGCTAAAGTCCACGGGGTCACACGGGGACATGCTGAAGTGACCGAGCATGCACACACGCACAGTTGATAACACTGTATTGTAAAACTGAAATTCACGAAGAGAGTAGGACTCACATGTTCTCATTTATGAATCAGAATAGTGTACACTGCCTTGTAATGTAAAAGGGAAAAATTAAAAGAATCTTACGTACTATATGAATCAGAAAAATGGTAAATGTGTGAAGTGATGGCAGTGTTAATTAACTTCATAGGGAGAGAGAATCCTTTCACAATGTTTATATGTGTTGAATCATCACATTGTATACTTTACATATCTTATACTTTTGTTTGTCAGTTATACCTCAATAAAGCTGAAAAAAATTCAACCTCTATGACAAAAAAGGTGGGGGGCAGATACATCAGTATTAGACAACCTTGTTAAGAAATAGAGATTCTAATGTATCCAGGAAAAAATGGTTAAAAGCTTGGGACAAACCACTTGGAGTTTTTCTGGTTGGAATCCTACTCTTAGAGGTCCACTGTTCTGGGATAAGACTGTGTCCATTTTGGGTGGGCAAGGGAAGGACCAGCCTGGTACCCAGAAGAAAGCCTGTGTGATGTCTACAGACTTGAACCTGCTCTGCACTTTGAAGGGGACACTATTTTCTCATGTTGCAAGGTAGGGAGGGAGCCCAGGTGGAGAGCTGCTGAAGTTGCTCCCTAGTCCAGGTCCAGTGAGTTCATGACTCCCAGGGTTCTTCATGAGCCCATCCTGGCCTTCACAGACGGCCCTGGGATAAACGGCCAAGTGCCAGAGGATAAAAGAAACCATGGTCTCAACATGGGACATCCACTCTATCAAAAAATTTTTAGAAAAAAAAGTTGGTATATCAAAATAAAATATGTTATAAAGAAGGTATAAGATATGCATTAATGTTTAAAATAAAACATGGTAGATCCCTCCCTTAAGGCCAAACTCCTTAGTCATCAGGTGATATATTTATTCCATCTCTGGCTACTTCAGGGGAGAAGTTTGAGAAATTCAGCTGAAGGGGTTGGAGTACAAGGCCCTAAAAGATGTGCACATTTGCTGGTCTTATCTTATGTGGTCACATCAGAATGAAGATGATGGGCCGGTGGCTTGGGAGTTGAGATCAGCACTCTTCCTTTCCTTTCTGGGGACAAGATGAGCATTTGCAATGATGGTGGTGGCCTTACCTTGTCACGTCATTAATCAGCCGCGTCTGCAGGAGCAGGTTTCTCCGGGGCAGCAAGTTGTCACAGATGAGATTCTGGTTGGCTCTCACTGCGACTCCATCACAGAGGCAGAGGGAACACAGTACATCCAGAACCTGCAGCAGGACACACCCCAGCAGACCTTAGGACCACTGAGGGGGGCACATAGTGGGCAGGACCTGACGGCCACAGCACAGGAAGGAAGCCCGCCTCGTGAAGGTAAGGGCCAGGTGACAGGGGTGAGCACCTGTTCAGAGTCAAAGAAGCCACACCTGCCCCTCCAGACCTGAGTGAGTGGTGCCCAGGCACCTGCTGCCCCTTGGGGAAATGAGGCTGGGTTCCTTTCTAGTTCCTTCCTGCCCTAGTCTTGTGACCCATCCCTCCAAACAAGGCACACCACCCGTGATCACTGTTCTGTTAAAGTGGGTAAGAGTCTGAGCTCTGAAGATAGCCTGTCTAGGTTCCTTTTCCAGCCAGGTCCAGGACTAGGGTGAGGGGCGGTAACAACTTCCTCTCCGGGTAGGTGCTGGAAGGGCCCCCACGGACCTCAGGCTGAAGCACGTGCTCCTGCCTGAAAGACACTCAGGTTGCCATCTGGCTAAGGTCCCTTGCTTGTGGCAGGCTTGGGATCCTCGCGTGGGTGGGCTGGAGGAGACGACAGGGCAGATTCCGAGTGCTGGTCTTCTGCCGTGATATCACAAAAGCTCACTAAGATATCCCTATCTTCCTAGAAATCCCTATTCAGAAACATTTCATCTGCTTTCTTCCCCCCAGTAGAGAGACAGTAAACCATGAGTGAGCAAAGCAGGCAGACCCTGAATCTACCAGATCCACCACGCGCTGTTCCTAAACCACCTCATATGCCAGCTGCCAGGGAAGTGGGAACAGTCCCCGGGCACCTCTCCCACGCACTGGCCTGCCTGCCCGGTCTCCTTGTGCTGAATCCTCATTCATCCATATTTCATGTTCCTAGCATGGCAGAGCAAACACGCTGGGCCAGGCACTGCTCCTCCCTCTCTCCCCCAGGGGGAGGAGTGTGTAAACAGCAGTGGATGAACACTGGCCAGGAACGTGGCAGGCTACGCTGACAAGGAGGGGGCAGCCCCAGGTCAGTCTTACAAAGTGGCCACCGAAGACTCCATGCTCAGCGGGGTTGGATGGCTTCATGTTGTTGATGGCATTTGCATCCATAATTCTCACAAACCAGTTTTCTACCTGGCTCCCTGAATGTCAGCTTCATTCCAAATAAACACAGAGCACATTAATGGGACAAGCAGAAAAGAACTCCAAAGGCGGTTTTACGGAGCACTCTCACCACTGCCACTCCATGAAACATATGACCATGGCACTAGAAATCCAGAGGATAATTTGTCCCTCTAAGAAAAGAGCCCATAGATGGTCAGGAAATTAAATACTTATCATCCAGCCTAGCACACATTTCCATCTGTTTTGCCTTGAAGTGACGGCTGCAGGAGCCTTGCTGTCACAGCCGGAAGGAAAGTAGAGCTTAATCCACATACAATAGGATCAGTGAGGAGAAAAAAGGCTCTGAAAAGCACACAGCCTAATGGAATAGTACATCACCTACAAATAAACGATGCCATAAAGAATGTGCTGACAGTGTTCAGGCTTTATTTTACCAGGCTTTTCTTGGGGTTGTGCAAGGGGTTGGATGGCTTCATGTTGTTGATGGCATTTGCATCCATAATTCTCACAAACCAGTTTTCTACCTGGCTCCCTGAATGTCAGCTTCATTCCAAATAAACACAGAGCACATTAATGGGACAAGCAGAAAAGAACTCCAAAGGCGGTTTTACGGAGCACTCTCACCATTGCCACTCCAAGAAACATATGACCGTGGCACTAGAAATCCAGAGGATAATTTGTCCCTCTAAGAAAAGAGCCCATAGATGGTCAGGAAATTAAATACTTATCATCCAGCCTAGCACACATTTCCATCTGTTTTGCCTTGAAGTGACGGCTGCAGGAGCCTTGCTGTCACAGCCGGAAGGAAAGTAGAGCTTAATCCACATACAATAGGATCAGTGAGGAGAAAAAAGGCTCTGAAAAGCACACAGCCTAATGGAATAGTACATCACCTACAAATAAACGATGCCATAAAGAATGTGCTGACAGTGTTCAGGCTTTATTTTACCAGGCTTTTCTTGGGGTTGTGCACCCCAACATTCACTGCAGCGCTGTTTACAACAGCCAGGATGCAGAAGCAACCTAGGTGTCCATCAACAGATGAATGGATAAAGAAGACGTGGTAAACACACACACACACACACACACACACACACACACAAATGGAATACTACTCAGCCATAAAAAGAATGAAACATTGCCACTTGCAATGGATTAGAGATGGTCATACTGAATGAAGTAAGTCAGACAAAGACAAACATCATATGGTATCACTCATACATGGAATCTAATTTTAAAAATGGTATAAATGAACTTATTTACAAAAGAGAAACAGACTCAGATTTCAAAAACAAGCTTACCATTACCAAAGGGGAAACGCTGTATGGGGGGGATAAAATTGAAGCTGGGGATTAACACATGTACAGTATTGTATATAAAACAGACAACCAACAAGGACCTACTGTATAGCACAGGGAACTCTACTCAATATTCTATAACAAACTATGTGTGAAAAAATTTGAAAAAGCATCAATACATGTATAACTGAATCACTTTGGCTGTACACCTAAAACTAACACAATGTTGTAAATCAACTACACCTTAATAAATTGTTCTTGAAAAGTGAAGGGCGTGTAGATGGGTCAGTCTACCCTGGGGAAATGCAAACACAGTCCTTAGGGGTCATCTGTACTTCCTGATGGAGAGGAAGCATCTCAGTGACCTCTGGGGTGCTTGCTGGCTGTGGCAGGTACTTCCCAGTGGTCACCGGACTCTGCCTCCTCCTCATCCCATGCACAGAGGCTACACTTCCCAGACACACTTGCAGCGTGGTGGAGTCATGTGACTGAGTTCCGGCCAGCGGAAAGTGGGTGGATGTGATGCGCACTGCTTTCAGGCTTGGCCCCTATACTCTCCCTTTCCAGCAGGATGTGGAGATCCCGGGAAGGATTACAAATCCCAAGGGTTCTCCTTACTCCGAGTGAGATCCTGCAGCACTGGGATCACGTAGGAGCTTGCCAGAAATACAGATGTTCAGACTTACCCCCAGAAACCTATCAGATCAGAGCCTTCAGTTTAACAGAATTCCCCAGAGATTCACAAGCACATAACAACCTGTGAAGTCCTGTCCTGGGGGACAGTGATGCTGCTAGATGGAAGAAAAGTGTCTCTCTGAATGACCACACAGCATGGAGTCCTCCCACTGGCCGGCCTCAGACAGTGACTTCACTGTGAGCATCTGGGGGTATCTGTCTTGGAATTAGGCTTCTCTAATCTATACACTGGTCCAACTTGAGAATTTCCCTGGACCACTCTGTAAAATTCATTTCTGCTTAACTGTAAAACCATTTTCACCACTGACACCACATTTCATCCAAAATCCTTCCATGCGCATGTAATCTCCATTAGTCACCACCCCAAACACAGGCTCACATGGGAATTCTGATTTAAAGGTAAGAAAGAGGCACTGCACATCCATGGAAATAGCATTTGGCTCTTGCATTTTGTTCTCGGCTTTCTATTAAAACAGCTTTATTTTTTAAAATACAAAAGCTACTTAATTAGGTGAATTTTATGTCATGTTTTATATTTGATAAATGAGTGCTTTCTCCCTGGGGAACAGATTCTGTTCTCCTTGTGGATGTGTGAACTGAGTGGCTGGGAGAACTTCTATCTTGCCTTGACTGCCTGGGAACTCAGAGGTGATGTTCTGGAGCTATTACAGCAAGTCTGTGGGAGTTAATGGTTTCCTTACCTTTGGACTCTTCTGTGCCATGCCCACCCCACCTACCTACTAGGGTTAACATCTCAGTTCTGATGTATACTTTCTCACGACCAATGATATGACTATTTTACTATAATTTTTTTTTCTCACAGGTGGCTCCAAATCCTTGTGAAACAAAGAATAAAAAAAAATATTCATCTGTGATAACGTTGAGCAGGTGTGAAGTACATTAGGTTACAGGGGCAAGTGAAAAGGGCATATTATATTTTTATTATTAGATACTTTCTTCATGGAAAAATTAGAGGGTTACTGTCAGAATCTTCCACAGTTGTCCTTTTCACTCAATAAAACTGGTGCCACCAACATAGTAAGCGTGTCTCATACTATGAACAGCCATCTGTTGGATGAGATGAGACTTGGGTGCACTTGCGAGCTTCCACCCATTCAAGGTGAGACAGGAGATGGTGGTTCTACTCATCCATTCCTCTTTGTTTTAATCACACCCTCAAAAATATGTATCAGATGCCGGCTGTGTGTAACATGTGAGCTGGGTACCACAGGGATCACAAGGTCCCTGCTGTAAAGGAAACTTAGTCTTTGACAGAAATATATACGTAGTGTATCTGTAAGGAAAGGCAGGGTGGAAACACCATGGAACAAACTGCACGGTGTACAGGGGAGGAGAGGGAATGAATCCTACATCCAGCTGGGATTCAGAAAAAGATTCATGGAGAGGGTGGCATCTGAACTGTTCTGAAGGCAAATAGAATTTTGATGGGAGCTGGAAAAGTAGAAAGTGAGGAGATGCTGAGGGTGAGTAAGCCTTGTCACTTGTGAGGTCATGGGCTAGAGTCCATTCAGAAACTGGGGCAGCACACCCCACTTCTGTCCTTTTACTCCAAAGACTGTACTTTCTGTCTAACTTTTTGACCTAAATTTGATCATGCTTTAGATGACTGGCAATGCTTTCCACAGCAAGGATAGAGCTGAGAACTAAAATATTACTTGCCATATCAGTAAACAAAGGATGTCACAGCCATCACATTATAGCTTCTGCAATGGTGAGCCCTCAGGCAGCTCAGAAAGGAAGCAAAGAATGACTTCCTTTTCTAAACATATGAATGGAGGAGGCACGGTACAGTAAGGGGTTTCTCAAACCTACCATAACTATAAACCTTTAATAAAAAATGTCATGGTCCTGAAGACCACCTTCATGGACCCATGATGCTGCTGGGATTCTCCAGGCAAGAACACTGGAGTGGGTTGCCATTTCCTTCTCCATCATGGACCCATAGGAACTCTCAAATTCCAGTCTGAGAAACACTAACTTACTATATGAAAATGGTTTCTGATTGTGAATTTTTTTACTGCAGAGTTTTATATTTATACAGTAATAAAAACTGGAATGCAAAATTAAACATAGTCTCATAGAACATGCCAGACTACAGATTGAGAAACATTGGAAAGAATATTGAACTTAGTGTTGAAGACTTAAATTATGGTCCTGGTTTGTTTGGCAACCTTAGTTAATATTTTAAGGTGTCATATACACTGGCCTTGCTTTTGCCTCAAGTGGAAATAATACTTCATGGAATAATAACAAGGAAGAAAGAAAATACATGTGAACATGGAGCACAGTACTTGGTATTTGTCAGACGCAAAATAAATGTACACTATCATTATCATCATCATCACTGTTTTTGGAGGCATTGTGAGGTGCTCTGGGCTCAAAAATTCTATGTATTTTGAATCACTATCTTCACAGAAAACTAAGTGAGCAGGTCAGAGATGTCTGGAAACCTGGGACTATGGAAAACAGAGCAGCCTGGATAGGAAAACATTGCTTTGGCATTTTCCAAGTCAAGATACAATGCTGTAATCGAAGTCTAGTCTGCACTCAGCACATTCTTTGCCAAGCTACCACAAATATCCCTGGTAATGATCTGAGACTAGGTTTCCCTTGAAAATAAAAGTCATGTACATGAAAAATTCTAGTGGGGGAACTGAATTCATGAAAAGCCAGTCCCCATCCAAAAAATCCATCAGAAAAGATGGGACATTCTAGAAGAGATTCTTTTTGTAACATGAGCACATTGCCTCAGCTTTGACATCATTGCCCAGAACTTCTCAGTCTGGAAGATGTAAGAGTACCATGCTAGTACACTCAGGTAACCTATCAGACCAGGCATTGATTCCTAGCAGAATAATAAAGCTCCCTAGGCCTCAGTCCCTAGGCATTTAGAGTTCCTTGGACAGCAAGGAGATCAAACTAGTCAATCCTAAAGGAAATCAACTCTGAATATTCACTGGAAGGACTAGTGTTGAAGCTGAAGCTCCAACACTTTGGCCACCTGATGCGAAGAGTCGATTCACTGGAAAAGACCCCGATGCTGGGAAAGATTGAAGGCAGGAGAAGAAGAGGTGACAGAGGATATGATGGTTGGATAGCATCATCAAAAACTCAAAGGACGTGAGTTTGAGCATTCGCCAGGAGATAGTGAAGGACAGGGAAGCCTGGCGTTCTGCAGTCCATGGGGTCACAAAGAGTCAGATACAGCTAAGCGACTGAACAACAACAACAAAAGGTTTCAGTATTTTCAGCCGTGGAGTACTCATACCGTGTTCTCATACCGTGGAAAGAACAGTAATCAGCTACCATTACCGAGTGACAATCCAGTAAGGGCTTGTGGCTTTTGGCTGAGAGAAGCCATCACAAAGTTCGTTATCTACTAAGTGTGTTCTGTGGTGTGATCACAAAGCAGCCCCAGGAGTAATGAAAGGAGTGCAGCTAGGCTTTCTAAGAGCTCCTCTTGACATGTGCCCATGGCTCAAGATGCAGGCCATGGGTTACTCGGGTGCTTATCAATTACACTTATTACACTTTGCAGATGGGAAGGGACATGTTCAGACATAGCAAAGCTGGGCTGAAGCAGGAGCCTCATGCCTGCTTTTGATTTACCACATTTGGGAAAGCAATTACCGACCCCACATATTTCTTTCTGTTTTTTGCCAAGCAATTTCACAGATGCTAAGGCTTGTTTGTTTCCTAAGGATGATACATATCATCTGAGCAGCGCTGCAGAGGCTTGTTCTCCTGGACCCCCCACTCCAAGACGTGTCTCCGATGTGCAGTGCCCCCAGCTGAGGGTGAGCAGAGAGGGTCAGTGGCCAAGCTGGGTTCTCTCCACTCTGCCTGAGCCCAGCTGCTCTCCCTCACATCCAAATATGCCACCTGATCTTGAAATGCTCCCCTTCAGCCTTGTAGTACCTACCTGCTCACTAATGAGCCAGTAAGATATCTCCTTCCATGTACAGGGCAGATATCAATGGGTCAGGATAAGACATATTTTAAGACTTTCCCGAGATCATGCTCAGATGGTATGATGGTAGCTCAGATGGTTAAGAATCTGCCTGCAATGTGGGAGACCCAGGTTTGAGCCCTGGGTTGGGAAGATCCCCTGGAGATGGGAATGGCAATCCACTCCAGTATTCTTGCCTGGAAAATTCCATGGACAGAGGAGCCTGGAGTGGTACACTCCATAGGGTCAGAAAGAGTAGGACATGACTCAGCAGCTAACACTAATCCCCAGAGATCATGGTGTCTTAAGAAATATAATTCCATACAAACAGAGAAATTAGAACTTTCAGAGACCCTTTTAAAAAAAAAAAAACACCAAAAATTCACACAGAATTCTGCCTTCGTAAGTGAGGTGGTGTTGTCTTCATTTTACAGCTGAAATGATGGGGGCTCAAGCTCACGAAACTGTTTTCTCTCAGGGGAGAGCCCCACCGCTTGTCCCTTCTGGCTTGTTCATGAAAAGCCCATTTTTCCCACCTGCTTTGACTCATGGCAAGTCTGATTTCATTTAAGAACATGCCATGTTGCCAAGACTTTCTACATTATCCTAAATCTGACTTCTGTGTAGCTTCTTTATAAAGTTGGCACTAGCTGTTTCATTTCTAAGCTCCTAGACTCGAGGGTGGGATCAGTTCCTGCAGCTGACCCTGTATAGAGCTGAATGCCTTACAAACCAGCTGGGTGTTAAGGGAGTAATGATGATCCAGGCTTGGGAAGCTGGTGGAAACTGAGGGGACCACCCAAGGCCCGTGTGACTGGCTCAGAGTGTGCTCCTAAGAAAGACAGGTCTTGCAGGACCTCAGTTTCCAGAGATTTTTTTTTTTTTTTAATTATTTTTAAATCAAAGCCAAGAAAGAGAGTAGTCATCACTCTCTCTCTTTCAGGACCTCAGTTTCCAGAGTTTTTTTTTTTTTAATTATTTTTAAATCAAAGCCAAGAAAGAGAGTAGTCATCACTCTCTCTCTTTCAGGACCTCAGTTTCCAGAGTTTTTTTTTTTTTTTTTTAATTTGTTTAAAAAAAATCCAAGCCAAGAAAGAGAGCAGTCAATATTCTCTCCATAACTAACACAATAGTTACTAAGCAGCAGGGAAGGAAAAGGCAGGTAAAGTCAATCCCTGTTCGGGATTCTTTCCACACCTACCTTGTGATTCCGTCCGTGCTTATCCAACAGGGAGATGATGGACTTGATGTGGCCCTCTGCTATCAGGTTTAAGGCTTCTGGGCTTTCAATGAGGATGCAATGCAAAACTTCCAAGATACCTGCATGCATGCCACAAAAATCATTTGGACATTAAATAACCGGCAGAGCTAATTATAACTAGAAACCTGAGAGTGAAATGATCCTCCTCAGGGGACAGAATACCATTATTCTTTGGATCTATTAAATATTTCCAGCCAGAAGGAAGATGCGGCCGTCTCGCATAGACTTCAGGAGCCCCTGGGGAAACACTCTGTAATTTAGAGGTGAGTTTATTCATCACTAACCCCACCTCCCTCTTCCTGGACAAAGACATGATCCTTCTGGGTCAAAATAAAGAGAAGCAGCTTTAAAACAGAATTTTTAACCTGATCAAACCAAGCAATACTTAATTTAAAAACAGATAGAAAAAGGGATACCTAGTTTACTACAAATTCTAAAGGTCATTCAAATAACTTAGAAAATGCTTTGAATGTTCCTTGAAAAAGAATTTTTCTAGGAATCACTCCAGAATTTATTTTTAGATGCACTGGTATGGTATATGAGTAAATTGTAAGCTCACTAAATAAGGATTACTGGGCTTTGTCCCCTTTTCTGGGCACACTGGATGGTTTTCTGTATTAAGCGAAGGTGTAACAAAAACATGCAGCCTGGCACTTGCATGTAACACTGGGGTGCAAATGCACAGTAAGCTGTTGGCTAATATCTTTATAGGTTTATATTAAGAAGACTCCTCTTGATTCTCTTTGTTTCCCAAGGTTTTCATAAATTACCCTAAAATGTAGTCTGGCCCCTGGAAGGAGGCACTGAAGGAAACAGAGGCTCAGGAAGAAGACATATGTGGAGGTGGATGATTCTAGAGGAGCTTTCCCTTGGCTTGTCTGTTCAAGTTCCTGTCATCTCTAAATGATGAAAAGAACACTGAAACCGTTCAGCTTCCCGGGGCGCGGGGGGGACCCACACCTCTCACGTTCTCTCATCTCTGAGGAAGCAAACTGCAGAGCCTCAGGGCATGGTCACTTACTAACGATGACCACTTTTCCTGGCTCAAGTTCTCTGTGAGTCATCAAGAAGGGCTCTAGATACGGTGTTGAGGGTGACTCAGGGGTATGAGGAGTATCATTTCCTCTCAGGTCTTGGTCATCTTTCAGTCCTGCTTCTAAATAGTGGAGAGGACCATGTTCAAGCTGGGTGGGGAATGATTCAAGGACCCAGGGAGAGGAGATGAGAGCACAAAGTGAAAAATGAAGCCGGAAAGGAAAGAGTTTTGACACCTGGCTTAAAGCTGATCAATCAAGTTTTAAGAGTACCAGGAAGATTTAGGATTGTGTTTCTTTTGTTGAAGTAATCACTGAGGATTGCTTGCAATCCAGTGGGGGGAAAAATTGTTCAGAGATTAAACTCTCTCGTTTTTTAAACAGAAATAAACAAAAAGCACCCCACCTTCTCCAGTTCTGTTTCCTGTCAAATCCTACCTGAGGAAGATTCTAGTCTGTCCAATTTGCTGATCAGCCAATCAAGGTTATTGGAGAATTGAGCACAGTTGTTTCTGTTTCCACGAATAAGAGCAGCTGTGAACGAGAACATGTTTGATCATGTAGGTTAAAGAGCACAGTATGGGAACTTGGGATGCTGTTGAATACTCCATCTGCTTAGCAATGAAAAAGAATGAAACAGTCCCCTTCCCCTCCCAAGCCTTTTGATACATTACTGTCTCTACATTTTGAAGAGCAAGAAAAATCTACCATTCATTCAAATATTTCCAGAGATTCTACTGTGTATGAGGCATCTGTCTACTTGCTGGGAATAAGGCAGTGGAACACAACAACAGATTCCCTGCCTTTGTGAAACGGGGGAGAAAGACAAAATACACACAGATTTTAAAAAATTACTTTAGATAGTGATAAGGAAGAAAACAATATCTGCTTGGTTGCTGGCTTCAGAACTCAATTTCCTCTAACGTTTTCTTAAATCTAGCTAAAGACTTGCTATTCTTCAGTGCTAAAAGAAGGCATCCAAATGAGTACAACTGAAAGGGTTGGGTTAAACTAATAGGCAAGTAATAACAAAACATGAAACTCTAAAATATCTAAAATGCATCAGTACATGATAGTAGTTCTCAAAGTGTATCCTTGGATAGGAATGTCAGTATCACCTGAGAACATGTTAAAAAACACAAATTCTGTGCCCTTGTCCTATGTCTACTGAATCAGAAACTCCAGGGATGGGCCCAGCGTCTGTGTTCTAACCAGCCCTCCAGCAAATTCTGATGCCTGTCCATGCTTGAGGACCACTGGGTAGATGATACTGAAAAGGTAGACAGAGAAGATGCTGTCACCAGATTTTCACTACTCTAGACCAAGTAACTTTCCCTACATAGGCCAGTACTATAGGTGGGACTCTGGAATAAGTCCATGTTAACTGACTGGCCCTGAGGCTTGCTCGTCATGCTGCTAGTTTTCAAAGACTGTGGGATTCGCAGACATTTGTAAGGTATTTGGATAAGGAAATTCTTTCTCAGGACCTCTGCTTTGTACCTCCACAGTCATTAAAGGGCAGAATTCAGTCTGAACTCCTCTCCTGCTTCTCAGGTCAGCCATAACAAGATCAAACCAGTCAATCCCAAAGGAAATCAACCCTGAATTTTCATTGGAAGGACTGGTGCTAAAGCTGAAGCTCCTATATTTTGGCTACCTGATGTGAAGAACAGACTCATTGGAAAAGACCCTGATGCTGGGAAAGAAAGAGGGCAGGAGGAGAAGGGGGCGACAGAGGATGCGATGGTTGGATGGCATCATTGATTCAATGGGTATGAGTCTGAGCAAACTCTGGGAGATAGTGAGAGACAGGGAAGCCTGGCATGTGGTAATCCATGGGGTTGCAAAGAATCAGACATGACTTAGTGAATGAACACCACCAAGGGGGTTGACCTTGAGGCTCTGCAGTCAGGCTATCTGGATTCAAGCCATAGTTCTATCACCTATAACATGTATGACCCTGGATGAGTTATGGACATTTCTGAGCATCAGATTCTTCAATAAAATGGTCATAGTACCTACACCTCACAGTGTTTGCTCTGAGGATCAAAAAGAGATATCCTACTGCCTGCCATCAACAAACATTAGCTATTACTGTTGTAATAATTACTACTGAGTTTAAGCCATATCATAAAATGTTAAGAGTTGGAAGAGACTTTATAAGGTCACTCAGTATAGTCACAATCTAATCAGCCTGACCCTTGACAATGAGAATGAATCTAGCCTGACTTCTCCCGGCTCCCCTCTGGCCTGCTCAACTTTCCATGGACTTTCTCTCAATGGGATATCTGCATCAGAGAAAAGCCCTAAAACGCTGCCTTGTTACCATGGCCAAATCATTATTGGTGGCCACCTTCTTACAGAGGCCAATACTGTCTTCTTCTCACAGGCTGGCAGCCTGGGCCCACGTGGCATAGGTTACAGCAGGCACTGGAAGCTCACCATGCACTCAGACTTGTGAGAAGAAAGATTGGATGCTGAACATCTCTACTCAAGTTCCTTTTTCTTTCACCAAAATGAAATAAAAACAGGCCAAAACAGCAGGAATCATGACTTTCCAACAAGTGGACAGTGAAAGGGTACACTTTTGAACAGAGTAGACATCCTCCAACTGCAGGTGTCAAACGTCTGGAAGTTGAGGGTATCTTAAACATATTTTTTCTTTGTTCTCTCATTTTAATGATGAGGAATTGAGATTCAGGGAGTGTAAGGAACTGCCAAGGGCTTCACAGGTAGTTTGATAAAACCAATCACCATTTGCTTCCAGTTGCTGTTATTTTGGAAAGTAAAATAAGTTACCAGTTAACACAATGAATGGCTGAGTTAGTTGTTGTTCAGTCGCCAAGTCATGTCTGACTCTCTGCAACCCCAATCAACTGCAGCACACCAGGCTTCCCTGTCCTTCACTATCTCTCGGAGCTTGCTCAAACTCATGTCCATTGAGTCAGTGATGCCATCCAGCCATCTTATCCTCTGTCTCCCTCTTCTCTTCTTGCACTCAATCTTTCCCAGCATCAGGGTCTTTCTAGTGAATTGGCTCTTCGCATCAGGTGGCCAAAGTATTGGAGCTTCAGCTTCAGCATCAGTCCTTCCAATGAATATTCAGGGTTGATTTGATAATCCACTGGGTTAGAATCAAACGGTTAGCACAGTCTTCCAAGGAATGAGGCTGGATGACAATAGCAGTTTGTTCCATGAAAATGTTAGGAGAAACATTGGCTGAAACTACCCACCCTGGCCAGGCACCACAGTAATCATTAGGATGAGTTATTTTATGATAGGAGATCCTGGTAAGGAACACAGAACTAACAAAGCACCACCAACAGGAAGAATTTTGGAGAGGTCAAAAGGAGACACCACATATCCTGCTGACCTTCCAGAATCCTCCTTGCCGGAATCCATCTTGGGTGAGCAGTGCATGTGCCACCAGAAAGGACCCCGAGCAAGAGTGACTGGCCAGAGACAACCTGGAAACTAATTCCATCACCATAAGACCCGAGACTGTGAGCCTTGGGACAGAACAGTCCTCCTGGGTTCCCTAACTCTCCTCTAACTCTCCTCCCTCCATTCAGGCGCCCCTTCCCAACAAAGTCTCTTGTTTTGTCAGCACGTATATCTCCCTAGACCACTCATTTCTGAATGTTAGATAAAAGCCCCCTGTTGGGCTCCCCCTTCCCACAACAAAAATGCCTACAGACCTCCCCAGCCACCTGCCCAGGGAGAGAGCTCTGGGCATGTACTTACCTAGCAATTTGTAGAGGAGGTTCAGAATTTCTTTCCAGGCCATCCCACTCTCCTCCCTGGCGATCCCTGCGAAGTGTGCTATGCTATTGTAGATATTTAAGCGATCAATGCAGTTTAACACAAGGGCTAACATTCCCTGTGAAGGCGAGTTGGGGAAAAAAGTAAAAATAGGTAAGATCTCAGGATCCCTTTTGTTCTCCCCTCTCCCATATCATTCACCTTTCAAAGCTGATGATACTAATGTGCAAACAGACCTTCACAGTGCCAATTTGGGTTTTGTTTTTGCCTCCCCAAAACAAAATATGCATTTTTTTATGCCTCAGAGACCTAAATAGCATCCATTTTGGAAGTGAGTCAGCAGTCTCCTCTCACGGGCTTGCCCCCACGTGTTTAACTTACACCAAGGACGTAGTGCGGAAGAGGGAACACGAATGAGTCTCACAGAAGCCTGTTCTGTCTGGTGTGAAATGATTCTGACTCATCTAGAAACAGCCCTTGGATATAGGATCTATTTTTCTCTAAGACGCAAAGAATGTGCATCTCCCCATCTGCTCCAAAAAGGGAATTTAGAGACAATAAGACTAAAAGAGGATTTTCTAAAATGACCTTTCCATCTAATTTACAGTACTATGCCACCCGGTAAAAACATCTGTGCCCAGCTGTTCTTAAAGAGCAGGAGGGAAATGGTTTAAGTGTAGTTTCAGCAGTCTATAAAGGCACACAGAATATTCCCCCAGCCAAAGGCTCAGTAGGGACAGGTCTACTTCCCACACTGCCAACTTTAGAAATGCCTAAAGGACAAGCCCTGTCCATAGGAATGCAAAGCTGCAGGAATATGACCATGGCCTTGAAATTAATGCCAAATCATCATGTCCAAGCTCAGAAGAGCCATGTGATCTAAGATCACACACAGTCAGGGATGGAGCCAGAACTAGGGCCAGGACTCCGTGAGCGCCAAGTTAGTATTTTCCCCATAGCTATGCCCATCCCTCGTGACTCAGATGCTCAAGTTCACCTTGAGGCACAGTAGCGTCTGTATTTCTTAAACCAGCTCCCCAGGCATTTCTGATGTGGTGGAACCTGGGGATTCATACTTTCCCAACAAAGTTCTAAGGTAATTCTGACACCTTCCAAAATTTGGGAATCACAGCTAATGCCACACTCTCATAGCTGAGATTGTATGAAAGACGAATTTTGGATACATGGGTGACATTGAGGCTTTAAATTAATCTGGTTTGAATGGACCAAAGTAGAAGCATGACAATGTTTGCTGCTGATGTGATCCAGGTGCTGACAGGGAAGGGTAACTTCCAGTGAATCTTCTTCTTTCCAGCTTTCTCTCTTTCTCGAATGCATGCATGCATGGAGACAAAGAGACTGCATGGAGACTGTGTAAACTGCAGTCATTGGGGTACTTCTTGCTCTGGACACAAAGAGCATCTCATCTTTTCAATGTTTTGGACTTACCTCTTCCTTGAAAAGATTCTGTCTGTTTTTGAGGGAGCGGAGCTTGTTCTGCTTGCCTTCATGCTGCATCCCCTCCTCTGGGGGCTGGAAGTAGGCAATCAGGTCGTGTAAGGTCTGCAGGACCTCTTCTATCGGCAGGGTGACTGGGGCAGCGGTGCGACTGTTTCCACTGAAACCACAAGATGGACATGGCTTAGGCAGCGGGTCTCTAGCAGGACCCTGACGCGTGTCCACTAGGTCCTGGCTCCTCCCTGCCCTGAACTGGGCACATGGACAGGTATGGTTGTCGGGTACCTGGGAGAGTCGCTGTAGAGATAACCTCAAATTGAAGTTTGCTGACAAACAGCATAATGGGAAGGAATCTCTGATTTAATTTTAAAACCATTGCATAAATCAAGGGAAAGGAGCCCTGGCTGTCTGCCAGGTCTTCCTTTTTAAGCAGAAGTGCTTTTATAGATAATTATTAACCCATAGTTCTTTTAGACTACCACACATTCCTGAGACAGGTTAAGCATCAGCTGGAAGGGGTTCATCACTTAGTCTCTTCCTCCATCTACATCTTTGCCCTTTGTCTCCCCCCATGTGTCTCTGTGATACTCTGTGGGTGTTTTCCTCTTAATGTTTGCAGGCACCCTATTTGTTGATGTGTTGACGTCTCCAACTTCCTCTGTGTGGCCTGCCTCTGTTTATCCACCCCCCACCAGTGTCCCATCTCTCAGCATTCTTCTTCTCTGCTTCAACGCCCCCACCATCTCCCTCTGTTGTGTTCCTCCCATCCTACATGTATGTGAGTCTGACTCCCTCTGTCATAATTTTCCAAACAAATCTTATAACTGAATCCTTCCAACAGAGAGCGGCCACAAACCTCCACAGATGACAAAATGACCCTTTGTTTTCCCATCTCTTTGAGAGGTACACTGGTGAGCTTTTCAGAGGCCAAGGCTAAGAAGAGGAAGGGGGAATGGATGCAGTCTGTGGAACTGCATCTGAGACCCCATTGTCTGAGACCCTAGCGGAATGGGAACTTATTCCATGAGAGAATAACATCAGGGTTTTTCCTTCGTGGTCAGTTTCTAATGAGCTGTCCTTTACATTTACTGCAGATTTGCTTATATATCTGTCTGGACACATGCTAAAGAAAAGACTGTGATCTGGGCCTCAGATGAAGCTTATAAACAAGTCCCGAAAATATCCAGGTGATGAGATGACAATAATTCCACTTCTGTATAAAAACGCCAAGTGCACACAGTGAGAGGGGAGTAAATTACAGGCAGGAGGAACTTCTCAGCTGTGTGTTCTCTACCCATGGCAGGTGCTCAGGAAGTGATTATTGAAGATTCTCTGGGATATTAATGAACTCAGAGACAGTGAGGAAGAGAATCCCATACGGATAAGAGGTGAAGGTTTGGGAAAAAGAACTCAATCAGAAATGACTCCCCAATTCCAGCTTCAGTAAGAATGAATACGTTTCCCTCAATATTTCTGGTCTAGTTGCAGAGCTTTTCTCTCTCCCTCTCTTTCTTTTTAAAAATTTAATATTTTCCATATACCAGAGACACTCAGGCCAGTTAAGTGACAAGTATGTCCTCATGTGATGAGAAATGAGGATGAAAGAAGAGATCTGTAGGCATTTCTGTAGCTTGATGGGGCAGCACATCACTATACAGAGGGTGGGAAAGCCCAGGGTATAGTCGCTGCCATTTAACAGTGAGGTCCTTTGAGTGCCTCTAAGACTCCTGTGCTTCAATCCCACACCTGAAAAATAGGAAGGTACACTCTATGTTTGCCAGGATCCTTCTGGGTCTAATTTTTTTTTTGTTTTTCCCTGTGGGTTCTCAGTGCTGGATCATTTCATCTCGCCTCTTGAAGAAACATCAATATGACAGTTCTCCAGGGAAAATGCCTCCTTCCTTCAAAAGAAAACATATAACATGTACTTGGCATTGAGGACACAACCTCTGAATGGCTTCATGATGCTTACAGTCTACTCTAGCACATTGAGGGAGGAGACCCAGATGGATCTAGATAGACAGGGCCAAGAGGATGCCTCAGTTCAGAACTAATTACAGCTGGCCCCCATCTCAGCTCAGCCTCCCTCCAGCCCCTAGAGCCCCTGTCCCATTATGTTCTCAGATCTTTGCCAAGGATTTCTTAAGTAAAAGCACAGGTGATTCTGAGTATTCACCATACAGTTACCATAATTATTTCTATATCATTCCCCTCCAAAAGCTAAACTCAGAGGACAGCTGGATAGCACCTTCTCTCTCCAGCAGGACTTCTGAGACTCCTCGGTCCATCACACTGTTCATTTGTCCTATGGGACATTTCCCAGCGACCACACAGGGGATGATGAGACAGTATAGGAAACTTAAAACATTATCTTCTTCATTGTTCTTTCTTCTTCATTCTTTATTCCTTTAACTTTAACTTGTTCTTGCAGAAGGTCAATCTCTCTCTCTGGTTTCCATTTGTACATTGCATGCACTGTTGGTTTCTCAAAAGAGATGGGAGAAGAGAATCTACTTCCAAATTATGTTATCATCCTTCACTTTGCAGCTCTTGCCAAATGTAAGTACCATGGATTTTGTAGCCCTCACCCCTGCTGTACTGGTTTGCTATTCATTAGCCCTCCTTTCTTGTAAAACATCCTGTGTCAGGGAGAATCAAGAATTTCTCCTGTTGAAGGTGGGGCTTCCAGAAGTGACGAGCTCAGTGAGTTCTTTCTCCCAATAAAAGCAACAAAATTGGACAAAATCATTTAAAAAACTGTTTTAGGATTCTGGAAATTGACCAAAGGTATATAGGAAATTGAGAAGTTTTTTTTTTTTTTTAAATAATGAACCTTGGTAAGAACAGTGGGAGTCTATATTTCAGCCCCAGATTGTTCCCATTCTCTCCCCTAGCTCCATGGAAAATAAGGTCTAACAGGGTGAGGCAGGCCATATGCAAGGTCCCAGACAGACACATTCAGGAAGAACCAGAGAGGGCCCCAGCTATCTATTCATCTCTGGCTGAATATGATGAGGCCCTGTGCAAGCAGAAAGTAAAATCCAGGAGGAACTTAAAACTGCCTGACCTTTGGGCATATTATCCAACCCACAAACAGGTCTATCTGCAAAGGGTAGCAGGCTTGCCTCACAAGAAGTAAGTACTCCAAGCTGAAAGCAAATGACACCAGACACTAACTAGAGTCCATACTGAGAAATAAAGAGCAGTGGTAAAGATTACTATGCAGTTCAATGTAAAACAATATGAATATGTACCAGTGTTTCTCTTTTTTGTTCTTATACCTATTTAAAAATGCATAAAACAATAATTATAAAACTGTATTGCTGGGCTTATAACACATGAAGATATAATACATATATCAGTATTGTCACAAAGGAGTTGAGAGAGAAGAGAACAATATTGGAGCAAAGTTGATTTACTTGTTAAGTTCATATTAATGTGAAGTAGATTATTTCATATCAAAGACATACTAAGTTCCCTAGAGCAATTAAGAATGTAACTTTAAAAAGTAGTTAAAAACACTCAGAGGAATTAAAATAGTACTAGAAAATGTCAATTTAACACAAAAGAAAGCAGTAAAGGAAGAACAGAGGAACAAAAAGACATATAAAAATCAAATAGCAAAATGGCACACATGAAACCAATCATCTGAATAATTACACTATCTATAAATTCATTACACACACCAGTAAAAGGAAGAGACAGTCAGACTTCATTTGGGGGAAAAAAAGGTTCAAAGTAAGCTATCTACAAAACACATTTCCAATTCAAAGACAGAAATAAGTTGAGAGTAAGAGAACTGAAGATACATCATGCAAACAGTAACTGTAACTAGCATGTAAGACAGCTGGGGTGGCTTTACAAAATAAATTTTGAGACAAAAAGTATTCATATAAAAAGGGACTCAGCCATAAAAAAGAATAAACTTCTGCCATTTACAGAAACACAGATGGACCTAGAGATTATTATTCAGGGTGAAACAAGTCACACAGAAAAACACAAATACTATATAATATGGCTTATATGTGGAACCTGAAAAATAATGCAAATCAATGTATATATAAAACAGACTCACAGACAACAGAAAACAAATCTGTCGTTAACAAAGGAGAAAAGGAGGTAGGGAGGGACAAAATAGGGGTATGGGATTATCAGATACAAACTATTATGTATAAAATACATAAGCAACAAAGATATACTGTATAGCACAGGAAGTTATAGCCATCATCCTGTGATAACTTATAATGAATGCAATCTGCAAAAATAGTGAATCATCACAGTGTACGCCTGAAACTAATATAATATTGTAAATCAACTCTATTTCAATTTCAAAGAAAAGAAACACTTGGGGAAAATTTTTAAAAAAAGAAAAGAGGGAGACATTTTATAAGAATCAGTTTGGGGGGAAGATTTATTTATTATAAACTCCTTGGTGGCTCAGACGGTAAAGAATCTGCACGCGGTGTGGGAAACCCAGGTGTGATCCCTGCATTGGGAAGATCCCCTGGAGAAGGTAAAGGCTACCCGCTCCAGTATTCCTGCCTGGAAAATTCCATGGACAGAGGAGCCTGATGGGTTACACTCCATGGGACTGCAGAGTTGGATATGACTGAGTGACTAATACTTCCACTTTCAAAGCACCCAATACAGAGACCAAAATATGTGAAGTAAAAATTGACAGAATTGAGGGAGAAATAGACAATTCAACAATAATACTGATTTCAATCACATTCTTAAGCAGATAATGTAATAAACTATATAAATAAAGGACAAAACCACACCATCAACTCAATAGACAGAAAGAATTTGACAACATCTAACTAACATTCATTCAATATATAAAAAGCTCTCATCAAGCTAGAAGAGAACTTCCTCAACTTGATGAAAGATATCTACGAAAACTCTGCAAGTAAGTACCAAACTTAATAGTCAAAGACCAAATGTTTTCCCACTAAGATCAAGAACAAGACAAGGATGTCTGTTCTCTCTACTTTATTCCGTATTGCAGTAGATGTTCTATCCAGGGCAATCATGCAAAATAAAATAGAAATGAAGGGCATTCATTCTTATTGGAAAGGAAAAAAACACTCCTTTTATTCACAGATGACACAATCCTGTATGTAGAAAATTCTAAAGAATCCACACCAAAAAATACCTTCA